CCAAATAAAATACTACTCAATTGATCTTGATCAGCTGGTGGTGCTGCAGTGCTCTTACTCGTCGTTGAAAATATTGCCGCCCTCGCCACCATCAGTCAGACTCGTCGTCGCTGCCACCATAGCCGTCCTACTAGTACCAGTTATTGCTATTGCTGTCGTCCCTGTTGTTGTCGTCATGCGGAAACCGTACTTGTCGTCGTAGCCGCACCACTGCTACCACTATCCTCCTTTTAACTACCACCATCACTACTACAACTGCTACTACTNNACTACTCTACTACCACCACCACCACAACTGCCACTACTTCAAAAAGTCGTACTTACTACCAAAAGCAGCCCAGGAATCCTAAAGGGCATAGAGACATGCCGTGGCTTTTCTACGAACTGAGATGCCAATACTGCCTATTACAGGCTCGAAGATTAAAGCGTGCTCTCTAGGGCTTTTGCGATTTACAAAGTCTCGAGGTTGCTGGGGTTTAGGGTTTAGGGCTTACTGGGCGCAAGACAAACAGGGAACAACTTAGGGATGATCTTTATCGTGGTTTTCTCGCAAATACAAAAATATCCCCACTTCTCCAATAACGACTACTACTGACTGCGAATACTACTAATGATGTTAATTAATAGTAATGTGCACCACTGCTGGTGCCAGTGCGAGGGCTAATCACGATTACGAATGTTTTATTGACATGTATATACTAGTAGTTATCATTAACTGTACTTGTGCAATGGATGGCGGCGTGCCTCAGAAACGAAACGCGGATCTCCTCCAGCTCCCTTTGGCGGTAGATCCGCACCTGGAATGCCAGTGTTTGCAAACAGCTGTATCTTACGTCTATCGCCAGCATAAGGACATGCTCGTGTGACCATATACGCATGTATGTACATATGATACGTTGATACATATTTGCACTGGATTTTTATGAAATCTTGAGCATGAGAAATTCGGGATCGGAACGAGGATCCAAAGGGATTAGTGAGGGATTGGGATTGCACTTTTCCAAGCTTCTCAAACTTGCCTAGTAATTCTTCTCAGAAGCTGGCCAACTTCAGGAATTCGGCAAGGCTGATACTGCCAGAGTTGCCAACATCTACCTGCACGCGTGAGGTTACAATCATTTACAGTCCCCCTTAAGTAGAT